GGGGTTCTGTTCCTCTTAAGCCACAGATACTTGAAAGGAATCTCACACTGCAACCTAGCCATTGTGAGTATCAGTACAACTCTCCTGGTCAGCAGAATGTGATTTACATCCATATCTGTTTCAGAATTGTTTTCAGTGCCCAGCCCCAGTCAGGGGGTTATCTACCAACCATCAGGTCTATCTACCCATAACTTCAACAAAATAGTTTCACTCAACTTAAATCTGATCAGAAATGGTGTTTCAGCCTCAATTTGTGACAAAATACTCAAGTTTACATTGTTTGAATGTCAAATAAGGCAAATTATGTAGCTTGGCATATCTAGTGATGGATATATAGGAAGTGAAATTTTCAGGGAAAAAAAAAGCCCCCAAGGTTAAAAAAAACCAAAACAAATAGGCTTCAGCAGCAGTGGTTTGTATTCTGTGAGTTTGTCACACATGGATGAAATCTGGGACAGGAAACTGACTTGTCATACTGAAGGACTCCCAGACAGATGACAAAGATGACAAAGTCTTAAGTACTGAAACCCTTTAAGTTAGAACCATCTGACACAGACATATAAACAGCAACTCCTCCTGAGCAAATAAACAGTTCATCTATTCATTTGGTAATTTAAGCAGCCCATTCTCACCAAGGACACAAATGGACTATAATATTCCTAATATTTTTAAGTTATGAACACCCTCTTTTTCATACTGTCTTGTCTTCCATTAACAACTGTACTTGCTGTTTCAGAGTCTCACAAAGCTTACAGAATTGCAACCAATAAATAAATAAATAAATGAGAAAAAGATTTTTTTTTCTTAATCAGCTTAACAGATAAGGAAAAAGAGGCTCAGAGAGTTTGTGACTGATCTAGGGTCACACGGGCAAACAGGGAGAGCCACAAGGAAAAGCAATGAATGCGTATAGCACATCCAAGAAGTCAGGACAACCTCTACAGCAATTAATTTAGGGAAGATAGACAGAAGAAAATGAAAAGAATGGATCAAACCCCAAGACAAAACCTCCTCAACTAAATAGTAATTGATTTTGCTAAATATACATTCCAGATAGCTGCTAGATGGTACAGAGTCCAAAGCCTATGCAATCTTTTGGTTGTTTCTCTACATATCTTTGAACTGTTCCTTGACAGTTTGCTACTACCAAAGAAACAGGACAGTTTTCCTTCTTCCTAAAATTCATCACCTACTCAGCATTTAACTACCAGTGGATGAAGTCTGCATCATTAACAAAATCTCAATACTTAGGTTTTTAACTTACACTGAAAAAAACTTCTTCCACATTTTGGTGTATTGGGAAAATGTCAGGTTTTCCCACTTTCTCTAAAAAGATGAATAAACCTTTTGAAGTATAAAAGGAAAGGCTCAAGTTGCAAATCCAAATCATTTAAAAGCTGTAACTTTTCAAAACTTCAAATGAATACTTAGTAAGGAAGGGAAAAAAGAAGAGTTTAGGTAAACTTTGGCACTGTTAGCAGGCTAACGATTAAAGTGTGAAACCTTTACAGCATCAACCCTTAGAGCTGTGTGAGGGAACACGTGAAGTTCTGATGGGAACTGTCACATATATTGAAATCACTCATGTCACTGCTCTCACTAAAGCGTTATGCTCAATTAGGGTGTATGCACTTAATGAACAGGAGGAAGTATTCCTGTTGAAGCAATTCCTGAACACAGCTAACTGGACCTAACGAATCATAGAGTCATAGAGTCATAGAGTCATAGAGTCATAGAATCATAGAATCATAGAATGGCTTGGGTTGGAAGGGATCTCAAGAATCATGGATCTCCAACCCCCCTGCCACATGCAGGGCCACCAACCTCCCCATTTAATACCAGACCAGGCTGCCCAGGGCCCCATCCAACCTGGCCTTCAACACCTTCAGGGATGGGGCATCCACAACCTCTCTGGGCAGCCTGTGCCAGCACCTCACCACTCTCATAGTAAAGAACTTCCCCCTGACATTTAACCTAAATCTTCCCTCCTTCAACTTAAAACTATTTCCCCTTGTCCTGCCATTATCTACCCTTTCAAAGAGTTGGTTCTCCTCCTGTTTGAAAAAAAAAAAACAACAACCAAACACAAAAATCTAGGGAACAAAAAATTTAAGACTCCAAAATCAAGAAGATTGAACAATATACTTTTCTGCAACTCATTTTAAACAGCTTAGTATGAATTTTCCATCCTTTTTGCTTCTCTTTATAATTGGTAAGTTTTTTAAATATTAAGATTTCTCCTCCCTTCAAATTCTTCCAATTGTTTTCCCCCCTCTTTGCTTTCTAATCAGAGCACTTTCCCTCTCAAAAGACCTTTTTCTTCTTCCTAAAATTTCAGGTCTCAAGAGTACAAAACCACTGCAAAACATTACAGCAGAAAATTCTTCATTCCCTGTACTTCTGGGCTAAAAGATTTCAGTAAATGAAATAAATATTTTTACTAGAAAGCTCCAAAATATAGTTCCCAAAAAGGTGCACTTAGTATATAACATCTCTTAGATCAGGGATGGTCAAATACTTTCAAATCTCATTAATAAATAGCCAATATAAACTAATTGGCTTACACGTTCTCCTCACTCTATTTAGGTACTTGATAACAACAGCTCAATCCATTCTGATTGGATTCAGTCACTTAAAATACACTATTTTGTTCTGTGACCTCTTTGCCAGCCGTGTTTACTGAGGCAAATGCAGTAAGAGAGAGATATTTTCCAGCGGATTAGGAAAATGAAGGTTTAAAACTGTAAGTGAGCTTTTCTGTAGCTGAAAGCCACAGCAAAACCTTACGAGACATATGGAATACCTGATGTATGAGATTGGCCTGTTTTTATACACAGCTTCCATGGTACAGGCTCACACAACAATACATACAGTTTTGGAGACGACAGTGTCTTGCAGCACCTGGCTTCACTGCAGTCACTGCACGCTATTGTTCAGAGACAGAAAGGGAGGCTTGATGTAAACCCCTGACTGAATCACTTTGACCACTCTCCATACTTTCATAGGACCGTGGCTGAACATCAAAATAGTTAATTTTATTTTGAGCCATTGAGTAGTTAGAGAAAAAGGAAAACAGCTCAATTTAGCAGTTTGGCAATATCTACGATGGGACTGAGACAAAGCACAAAGCAGATCGTCTGGTAAGTCAGAAAGGCAAGTGCTGGGAGCAGTTGGCTTGGTGAGAAAACTGAAACATAAACATTGTGAAAGAGACATACGCAAAGTGTTTATCAGACTGAAATAGATGCTAAACAGAACTAAAAATAAGAATAGAAGTGCAGGGACCTACTGCTTTTCAGAATGAACACCTTTGCAACGCACTGCAGCTATTAATTGCCATATGCTCCTGTTAAAGTTTCTCAGACACTTTTATGCTGAGCTGCACCTTCCAGTGTCAAGCCAGTGACAGGGACGCTTCACAGAATCATCAACACATCACTGGCATCAGGCATAAGCAGCTGTCATGCTGCTCAGTGCAGTTTAAAGGCTCACATCACCATATGGGGCAAATCCTTTTGAGTGCCCCTCCTGAGGAAATGCAGGTTTTCCTGTTCTGGATAAGCACAGTAAATTAAGAGTGACTTGGCCCATCAAGGATGCTTTGAACTTTGAACCAGCCATGATTATTTTGTATTCCTTTTTACCCACATTCCTCAAAGATGAACAGAAAACCTGTTGTCCCAAGAACTAAAAAAGTGTGGATTGTTGTCCTTAAGCTCAGGTCTCATAAAATACTTAAAAAATTTCACTGTCAGGTGTCTGCAATACGACAACTATGTAAGGTGATGGAGAAAGTCCTTCGCTTCTCCAACCACAGAAGAATTAAAACACACATATTTGAATTAATAGCTAGATAAATGAAAGAGATTGCCATATTTCATGTCTACTTTTTTAAATTGCAATGTTGCTAGTTCAGTTTGGGTGTTGAACACCTGATATCATTCTGCAAACCATCAGCTTTACAGTTTTGTTACGCTCTCAGTCTCATGCACCACCAGCACTGTGCATCCCAGTGGGGGCTGTTACTCACCAGAATCAGTCTGAGATCAAGATACTGTCTTTCTCCCTGAATTTCAGCACGTGCTGCTACAGTAGCAATAAGGGAGAAAGTCAATAGGAATAGGAAGTCTGCCTGACCTCTGTGATCCTTGTGTGTTCCTTCCAATTTGGGATATTCTATAATTCCATGACATTACACAAAGGGGAGTACCAGTGCGTATGTACAGCCCACGCAACAAGGTGAAGATATCCCAGACAAGGAGCTGGGAGAATCCAGCTGGAAGGCAGGGAACAGACCTGGAAGAGAACAGCATCAAGGGATTTATCCTTCTGAACCCAGAAAACGAGTACAGGCTCACTGCTGTTCCCAACAAGATGAGCCAGCAGTACCATGTGGGATGACTGCAGAGAGTTTCCTGCTGTCCTGCAGAAGTAGGAGCTGAACGAGTATCCCACGGGCAATGCCTGCAGCTCGAAGTCACCCAGCTCACAAGCAGAGCACACCTCTGGTTGCTGGGTCACGGATTCAGGTAAAAATGACTTACAGGACACTTAGGTTGGTTAACTACCTGCAAAGTTTACAGCACTTCATAGGTCGGTATGGTGAGCACCCACAAATCTAAGCTCCTCCGTGGCTCTGTGGTGATCCCTCCCAGGAGCTGACTGTCTGGTGTCACTGCTCCCAGCAAGGCACGCTGCCGGCTATCCTCATCTCGAGCTGTCCGGGGAAGGAGGGATGGCTCCGGGAACACAGAGCTGTGGGGCTTCAACCGAAAGCTCACGGCCACAGCCTGGCACTATCCTCCTCCCCACGCGTATACTGAGGACTTTTTCCCCATCACCCGAAGGAGCCCTCTCCCGCTTCCCAGCGCATCCTGCGGCGCGGTGGAAGAAGGCAACCCGCGTACGGCACACAAAGCCCTTCCCCCGGCCGGCAAACGAGTGCAGCCCCCGGCAGGACAAGGCAGAGCCGCCCCGGCCCGGCCCGGCCCGGCGCTCACCCGCCCGTCTCGGCTCCCGAATCCCCGCAGTCCTCCTCGCCGCCGCGGGGCTGCTGCCGCTGCATGCTGCCAGCTCCCGGCTCGCTCCATGCCCGTCGCCGCTCCGCCGCCGTCTGTGGGAGGCGGTGGCTCCCGGCACCGGCCCGCCCCGGCCCGCCCGCGCGGGGCTCGGGGCCGCTCCCTCGGCCCGGCCTCCCGCCGCCGGGCTGCCCGCTGGGTGCCGCCACGGGACTGGGGGCGGTTGCGGCCTACGTGGGGCGGGCCGCGCGGTTTCGCTGGGGCCCCTCAGTGCCCTTACCGGGAGCTCGGTGGCCGCGTTCGTGTGATCGCTTTGAAACTGCGCGTGGAGACAGGCGCGCAGAGGTTGTCCGAGCGGCAGTAACGATGAGAAAGTGAGGCGGTGCAAAACCAGTACGTGGAGTGATTCCTGTGAAGAGCTAGCGGTGTAGCAAAGGCTACCAGCAGCCATATGCACTGAGGTGGGACTGCAGTGAGAAGTTCACAGATCACAGCACAGCTGAGGCTGGCAGGGCCCTCTGGGTGCCTCCACTCCATCCCCTGCCCCAGCAGGGACACCCAGAGCAGGGTGCCCAGGGCCACGTGCAGGCAGCTCTGGGAGATCCCCAAGGAGGAGACCCCACGGCCTGTGGGCAGCCTGTGGCAGTGCTCCATCACTGCACAGCACAGAAGGGCTCCTGGTGTTCAGAGGGAACCTCCTGTGCTCCAGTTTGTGCCCATGGCCTCTGGTTCTGGCATTGACACAGCCTGGCTCCAGGCTCTGGCACCCTCCGTCAGGTACTTACAGACATTGATGAGATCCCCGAGCCTCCTCTTCTCCAGCTGAGCAGCCGCAGCTCTCTCAGCCATTTCTCACAGGAGAGGAGTTCCAGGCCTTTCTTCATCTTGGTGGCTTTTTGCTGGACTCTTTCCAATATATCCAGATCTCTCTTGTACTGGGGGGCTCAGAACTGGAAGCAGTACTCCAGGTGCACTGCCACCAACTCTAAGTAGAGCGGAAGGATCACCTCTCTGCAGGCAGCTCCCATGTTCCCCACATCCAGCATATCTGGAGGGGAACACTTTCCTGTTTTTCCCTCACACTGAAGTGCAAATATTCACCCATGTAGGTATAAACTGAGATCTCACTTGGCAAAATAGTCCATCATTCTTTAATCCACGTGGTTTAAAGTAGAAAAATTACGAAAATCTCAAAATCATAAAATACGAGACTGCACCAGAAGTTTTGTGTACCACACAAAACAAATCTTATTTTGGAGTGAGAAGTGCTAGGTTTCCATTAGTACTTTTTAAGCTATACTGGTACTTGTACAACATTAATGTCCCTCATACATTTGTGCTTGCCAGTGATGCAAGTATACAGTCATGTATACTGCATGTAGTAGCTCAAATGAAGAGTGATCAAATGAAGGGCTCATACAGGGCATAGTTCATGCAACTGTTTTCTCCAGATGTTTGTGCCCATGGTTCTCTAAAATAATCTATACATACGTGGGAGTTCTGTGAAATTAGAGGAAGATAGAAAAGCTTGAGAATAGCTGCAAAGCTGGGTTAGCATGCTGTAGGAGCAATATACCTAGCCCAGATTGCCCACTGTGAAATCGATGGTTTGTCTACCAAATCTTGCTGCAGAGCTTGTGTGCAGTCTTGTAGCCTCTCAGCATCACAGGTCAATCCACCACATCTCCATGGTCTTTAGAAGAAACTTTCAATCTCTACAGTTCATCAGCAGTTAGAAAATAAAATGTTCTGTTGTATAGGAAATTTGGTATTTGAACTATTTTGAGTATCTGGTTTGATTTGCATGCATGTCATTTTGAAAGCAGTAAAAAATATTCTTTAGTTTATATGAAGGATTTCATGTAAATTTTGCAATAAATATAAGGTTTTATGTAATAGAATAAACCTCTTTGATTAGAGTATTTATTCAGTCTTTTCCCAGCCAATTTACTTGAAGTTATTTGGACAAAATGCTGTAAAAAGTACTCATACACAACTGTGCTGTCCTTCAGAACATAGGGAAAAAACTTCTGTCCTTCAAGACTACCTTCCATCTAAATCAATTTACTCACATACATAAAATTAAATGCATCCAATTTCTTCTAGGATTGGGACCAAAATGCTGTGCTTTCAGCTTGTCGAATCATCGTTTTCAGGTAAGAGGCATTGGTAAGTTTTCAGATATTGTGTGTGGCTAAATGATTCATCCAAGGAAAGAGACTGGCAGAACTGATGCAAAAATCCAGTGAATCTTGATTCCCATCTTGAGCCTCTATTTTGGGAATAGCTAAATATTTATTCTTCAATAATTGCGATAGGGATGGAGGATTCTGAGCCCCCTTAGGACGTGTTTTGGAGGCATTTATATTATTCTCTATTACCAGGGCTGAACAGACTTTGCTGTCACTTAGGCTACACACGTACATTTATTTAGTTAATGCAATGGTGTTTAAAAGCAGGTCACTTCCACTCACTTTTGAACATGATTTCAAAGTGAAATAAATTGACTGTGGCCACTGTTGAACTGATTTAAGATGTAACCAAACCTCCTTAAATATTTAGAAATAGGTTTAGTTAAATGGATACATTTCTGTACGTTAAATTTTAGGTGGTCAGCTAATAGATCTTTTCCATCTCTGACTTTTATTATTCTAGTTAGTAATGTTTAAGCACTGGCATATGAGAGGATCTGGAATAGATTTTATGCTGCATTTAAAATTAATTTATCCCATCTGTCCCAGAAAGGGAAAAAAGAATCATTCTAAGGAAATATATAATTAAGATAGTAAGTAAAACTACCGCAAACTCCAGGCTCTCTTATTTATACACTTCCCTCATTTAACTCTGTTTTATTCTGTCTCTAACATAGCCATGGTGAAAAGGAGACTTTTCTGCATCGAATTCCAAGCATTTCAGAGATTTTAATGAATGAGGTGCTAAGTCTTAGCCTTTCGTTAGCTTTTCTGTGTTACCTATGTTTCACATTAGGTCCTCTGTATGGTCTGTTGAAAAGAGAGGTTAATTTTTAATGACTTTCTTGCACTTATGTGGCTGTGATATTGGTTTAAAGATAAGGTAAATAAGATAAAGATAATAATAAAAGCCATTCATTAAAATGGTTTAGTAGCAGTGCTCACAAAATATCAGCAGAATTCTTCAAAGAAACCAAAGAAGTAAAACCCTCTCCTGTTGAAATCAAAGTGACGCTGAGGATGTGCAGACCTCCTCCTCATTGCTCATGCACTGGTCTGAGCAATTAAGAGCAGGGTGCAGAATAGCGCTGGCTGCAGCCAGATAAAGGCAGAGTGGGAACCTGAAAGCTGACCCATATCAGTTCATACACAAGCTAAAACAGAGGAAGAGGCAAAGCATCAATTTCCCTGATGGATCCACACCTGGATTCAGATTTCAATCTCTTTTCTACTCTCTGCCTGCTGGGCTATATCATCTGTCCTGCAGGAGCTGGAAGGATGGAGTGCGTGCTGTAGGGTTCAAGGCTGGCTCTCAGCACAAAGAAGAGTAAGAGAAAAAGAGGTGGCTGCACTGTGTTCACATGCATATGGATTTCCTACTGATGAGGGTATCATGTATGGGATATCTCTAGCCTCTAACTTTTATTTCTTTCTATACAGAGGCAGAACTTTACTACAGGGTAGAGAGAGAGGGCAAAAATATGTCCCATCTGATGTAATTTAAATTCTGATGCAGGGGCACTCTGCTGGGAAGAAGTGTCCTCAATTCAGTTCTTTTCATCCAGCATTTTGGCTTTCTCCATTTTTTTTTTTTTTTTTTTTTTTTTTTTTTTTTTTTTTTGTGATGTTCCAGAAGAAAAGGGTCAGTTGGCACTGCAGTTCCTTCTGGCATTATACCATAAATTACAGAGTCTTTATAGTTCTTGAAAGCAAGAAAAGACACCTTGCTTAGAGGATTCTGGACTGCTGATAAAGGCAAGATACTAAAGAATGGATTTTTCGTTCCTGACTAAATTTTCTCAAAATGGACAATACCCATGCTTGCTCCATTCACAGAATCCTGATCTTAATACAGGAAAAAACATACTAATAATTCTGAACTCCATACCTGACACCTTCCATCCCATTTTAGGTGCTGCAGCAAGGAAATTTTTAGTCTACAGAATCTCGCCTTTGTAGAAAAGGTTTCCTTCTTCAGTGGTCCTGGAAGAAATAAGCACCCTGCAGGTCAAGACCTTGTTAACGTTCAGCACTGGACTTAAGGTGCTGGCTCGTAGATTAAAAATAAAATAAAGATGATAACAATTTTGGAAGGAGGAGGGGAGTTGCAACTTGGCATGTGGCTCTGTCTTCGTGCTAGGTCAGCCCAAAAAGGCTGACTTTCAGACTGGTAAATGGTGCCAAAATATTTGTGGCAGTTTCTCACATAGGCTATTGGGTTCTTGGGGTTTTTTAAGGGTTATGATGAGGTCAGGTTCATTTGTGGTAGGTCTCAAGACACCCAACCTCCTAAAATTCTACAGTTTCAAGGTAAAATACAACTGTGCAATAAAAAATTGTTTCTTCAAAGCACCAGCAAGGCTTTTCAGTGCAGTTTAAGGGAATTTGGTTTCAGGTCCCACTACTTTAATTTTCATTTGAAATCCCTAGTATGCACTCTTACCAAAGTTCACAGTAAGCACAGAAAATATGTATTTTATTAGCAAATTGTTCTTTTTAAACTTGAATTCTAGTGCATTACTTTTTTATTGAAAACTTCTAGCACTCAGTAACAACTGCTATAAGAACTTGAGTGTTTTGAAGTCCTTTTCTGTATCATCCCAAAGCCTGGGGCTCAATGAGAGTGGAATACAAGGGGAGCAGAAATGCACCCATCACTGCGTAAGCAACCAGCTGGAGTTTTGGATCAGAAGACATTCCTGTTGCTCTCGTGTTGCACATCATCCCAGTCAGCCAGATCTTCCCTGTGGATTAAATCATCAGTGGATTTGCCTTCCCTAGGCTCAAGGATCAGCTACCTGCTACAGCTCTGTGAAGGGATGTGGAAGTCAGGTTGTGTGCAGCTGAATTCCCCT